GAAGTGTGTATGAAGAAGAATTATGAGCGCCTATGATCTTGCCTCTCAGAGTCAAAAACATAATACGACAGCAGTACACACCTAACATGGCGGAACAGCGAAAGAGGAAGCAAACTGGAGGTGAAGGCGAGACACCATGTATTGGAAGAAGAAAGAAGATCGCAATAAATAACTGACATAAGAATGGATCCATAACTTTCCCCAGTAGTGATGATGGTGGGAGTCTCAAAGCAATTTAAAAGAAAACAAATACCAATTGGATTTGCTGGATTTGAAGAAGCTTTATTGGTGTGCTGTCACGGCTGGACACCACAGAAACTAGGCTAAGAATATCTTAGGTCCAGGTTTCAACTCTGTTACAAAATTTATATCAAAACCAGAAAATAATCTGTTTACTGGACATTTCCTAAGCACCTAAAGTCCTTTACGACCTCTTTAACTCCTTTGAAGATTCAGGAGTCCCGGTACAGCTGTGACCTGCCTCCCTAATGGAGGAATGTGTACCTCAGCGCCCCCTAGTGACACTGTCCTGAGCGTTTGATTACAGGCGTGCGTGCAGGAAATTGAGATGATATAGCAATTCGCACACAATGATATAGTTTAACACAATAATGTACAATATGTAAATAACTTTTATGACCATGTCAGGTTAAAACAGTGTTAAATTTCTCCCAGATTTGTTTGCAATAGATAAAAAATACAAAGCCTCAGAAACATGTATTTCCTCCTCTGTCAGGATAATGGGAGAAAAATTGCCAGCAAAATGTGTTTATCAGGTTGTTGAAGAGTGCATTCAAAATATACTCTATTTTGGAATAAGGCGGTCCTTCCCTCACATATGTAGTCAGAAGGAACCACATGAGTACAAGGGAGCTCAGGGGAATTTCTTGTTCTCTGTTTAGACACCCCTTAGACAAGCAAGCCCAAAGGAGTTATCTCCTCCTTCGGCTTCTCTTCTCTTCTCGCCCTGCCCACGCTTCATGGTGTGTTCTCTGATGTCTACTATTGTGGTCCCGGCTGTTTGCCACTAGGCTGTCATTGTCGTGTTTCAGGGTTCTCAAGATTGTAACTAATTAAAGGTCTGGTACTTAGGCACACAGTCTGTCTCTTTTAGCTACTAATGTACTCTCTGCCTTGGTCTCATTCAAAATTCCTTCTTTCATCTTCCAGCTCCAAATAGATTTAATAAATAGTTATTACGTCTGTAACCGTGATGAAAACTTCCAAAAGAGGGGTGAAAAAGTGAGCTGTGAAAAATCTCAGAGAATCAGAACAATTTTCTTGGTGGTGTGGAGCCTAACACTTTGAGTAAGCGGCTTACTTGTGTGGGTCACTATCATGAAGGTTAAAAAAGAAAAAAAACAAAACAAAACAACAACAGCAACAAAATACCCTGATCACTTATTTCATAGCATTACATCCAAAGACAATTTAAAAGTATAAAAGATTCAGTCTGCCGGCATGTAAAAGACGAGTTCTACATAACAGGATTATAAAATGACCATCTCCTGAATTAGCAATTTAAGTCAGGAGGCAGCAGTTGAAAATACCACGCCAGATCACAGGGACAGTCAGAGTGAGTAGATTTCCTGTCATATTCGGCAACAGCTGTGCCTGTATCAAGTTAGCCAAATCCAATTTCTGCCTTTCAAGGGCACCTGTGGGGGCCACCCACCCACCTTCTCTGTCTACAGGGAGAGTTTTGTGGACAGCATGCAATCCCCGCCACCGTAAGTAAAAGTATGTAGTACCCACCTCATTGGAACTACAGCTAGCCTTGAGCATTTGCCCACGCCCTAGGAACCTGTGTTTGTATCTCCTTCCGTGATGCGGTAGAAACATGCATGGGCTATCACACAGCAGCCTGGTGCCCCTGCTGTGGAAACATGAGAGGGAGACATCCACGGCAAATCCTCCAGAAAGGGAGCAGAGTTTTTATCCCTTCTAACCCCGCCTGGCCTCACCGCTTTGCCCATCACCACTGCCTAACCTAAGACTTCACTTTCTCCTTCATGCTTAGACTTTTCAGACTTCAAAAGAATCTATCACCCATCTTTCTAACACCCAGGCTTGCCTAGGAATTTTATCTTAATATCCATCACTCAGTGCTTCCAATTACAGTGTCAGAGCTGAAGTTCAATCCAGACTCCTTCATGGCTCCAAGCACTAACAGATCAATTAGTCCTGCTACCCTCACGTCAGACTCATCCTGTCAAAAACAGCTTTATAGGCACGAGAGTAAGTAGGAACCTGGCTTTGAATTCCGTGATGAATGATACAACATCCAAGCTGGAGCAATAGCCTCTGAAAGCCCTGGATCCCCATCCCCTATCAAATGCCTATAAAGAACCCTAGATCATCCTCTGTCAAATTATTTATAGGTGGCAAGAAATATTTCTAATTATATCCATTCACAGCCACAGTCAGTGAATATTGTGCAAAGAGATTGCCAAAAATGGTTTTGCCAAGTAGGTCCCCAGCTAGGACAGCTGAGGTGGCTGCTGTGTTTGCAGAACGGTCTCTATAAAAGTGGAGCTGGGGTGCCTCTGTCCCGTCCTTCCTCAAATCCTTAAAGGTATGTATGTGTGGCAGAACACATGGCTAGCTGTGCACCCCTGATGTGAGTGAGTTTCCATTTAAGGGAGATGGTTATTCCTTCCCAAGCTTTACTGTCAACATCCCTGAGAAAGACATAGCATCCAGTACAGTTCTAGTATTTGTGATTAAAAGGAAAAAAAAAAAGAAAGAAAAGAAAATGCCCAGCATCTCTGTTTTTTCTTTCAACAGTACTTGACTGCCTCAAGCTTGCCTCCTTCTTCATCTGGTAACACAAGAGGTAAGAGAAATTTATTATTACCCTCCAAAGAACAAAGGGCTCTCTCTAGTGTTACATTTTAATGAGTGACTCTTTCTTTTCTAGTTTATAATTGGGCATAGGAACAACTGGTCTTTAAAAACAGCTTCTCATAAAACTTTGACTTTTCAAGCCTTTACTCAAACAGAATTTTATGCAATTTCTCTTTTACATTTTGTTGGAACTTCATTAAGAAGGCAACCCTCATGAATATTGAATGTGAACTGCTGTACAGTTTAACCAATGAAAGAGGCTACATGGTAAAATAAAAAAGTACTGTTCCAGAAGTCAAAATTTCCAGGTGCCAATGCAGGCTTTTCACTGACTCCAGCTCCTGGGATCAAGCCTGCTAGATTTTCCGTGTCTTCAAACACATGTGTTGCAAGGGAATTAACACTAGAACTGGATTTAGATAGCTGAGCTCGTAGCTCTCCACTCTCACTTAACCACCTTGGTGATCCTAGATGACCCTTTACCTTGCTGAACCTTAGTTTCCTCATCAGTAAAACCAAAAGGACAGATTCCAGTCAGCTGCTAACGTCCCCGGCTCTTGCTATCTAGAACCTAAGCCCGTGGTTGCCATGGTTGCCAAGGACTCTTCCACCAAATCAAAGCACTCAGTGAGTCCCCCATCATATGCAAGTGCAGAGGTGTGATTAAGAATCATGGGAAGAACATATAGAATAAAGAAAACCTACTATGTATTAAATAATTGATTTAAATGAGTTCATATTTAACATAATAGGTAATAACAATTTAGGAAAAAAGGTAGAGAATGTATTGCTTCCAAGGAAATAAATGTCACTGGTTAACACTGGAGGCAATTACTACTGTGTGGACAGATCCCAACACCACACACCAAATCAGAGGCTCCTTGAAGGCTTGTGACAAAGGACCACCGAGACAGGAGTAGAGAGATGATATCCTTTCAGGATCTACTGCCTAGCAGCAATCATTAAGGTACAGCGTGTAGCTGATTTTATACTGCTTCATGGAAAAACGCAAAAAACAATGTCATAAAATAGCATTTGAAGAGACAAATGCTAATATCCAATGTTTCACTATCTGTCCCTTGAAAACATGTCTTAGCTTCCATGTCTCACCATAAGCCTTTTACTGATTCTAAGTAAGCTACAGTATGTAAGAGATTTCATATCTAACTCCAAATTGAGAAGATCACTGTGTATAACAAGAGACCAAGACTCTTTCTGGAAAGTCTACAAAAGGTTAAGTTGTTCTTGTCATCATTGACCCTAAAAACCAACATACTGCCCTCTGTACCATCCCCTCCTCCACTCCACAGAGGCTTTTACTCTGGTCAGACAAGGAGTTGTATGTGACCAGGAATTGTCAGTTGATTTTTTTTTAAAAAAAAATGTCAGTTAGTTTTGGCTTGAAACTTCATACTGGCTGTTAGTCTCAGGAGAGAAATTAGAAATGTGATATTTTCAAAGAGGAGGTAGGAGAAAGAGAGAGATGCCGTAAGCCTAACACAGTAAGGGCCAATCTAGGATGCTGAAACCAGTGAAACTTCAGGGAAGCGCAGACTAATATGTGACCACCAGGGAGTCTTAGTAAAATCCAGGTGCCTGTTTTTCTCAAGTAATCCTTTGGAGTTATTTTTGCTTGGATAACAGTGACAACTTGTGCAGAGTTTAAAAACTGACAGAAGGGATTTGGTTTTGCTTGGGAACAGATAATCTGTTGTTATTTACAGCTTTCCTTGTGCTAATATTTTATTAATAGCCATCATGTTTATTTTTTCCTTTACTTACCTAACAGTTATCAGTTAACTAGGAGTTTAGATGTATTAAATATTCAACCTGAATTTAGATTTTCTTCTTACATACAAACAATAATTTTTACACTCAGTTTTAATAGTTCATGATGGAGGAAAATAGCTAATTTTTTTTTTTGAGACAGAATCTCTCTATTATGTAGCTCTGGCTGTCCTGGAACTCTGTAGACAAGGCTGGTGTCAAAGAGCTTTGCCTGCCTCTGCCTCCCAAGTGCTGGGGTTAAAGGTGTGCGCCACCACACTCAGCAATATTTGGGTTTTTAAAAATAGATTCATTAACACGATAAAGTTAGAAAAACTACTTTCCATTTCTTTGTATCACCACAATGTCAAACAAACAAACACACACTTGGGACAGATGGGTAGGGAAAGGAAATGGGGTAAACAACAAACAAACCAACAAAAACCGAAAAGCACAGAAACAAAGAGTCTGAACACACTTGTAGCCTGACAAGTGCCGTTGGATGGGTATCCATCCCTCCATATCTCTCGACTGTGGTTTACAATAGGGAAGGAAGACCAAAAGCTTAACATGTCAGGAAAATTAAACTGCCCACACAGGGCTATTAGGTCCTCTTGTCTTCGCTTAGCTCCCCGGCACAGTCCACAGGAGGAAGAGGAGAGTGAGTAAACAAAGCCTGTTAAAGTGAAACCCACGGGCCAGGGTTGTCGTTCATGTCCATTTCTTCCCTTAGGTGCACCTGGCCCTGAGCTGCCACCCATAGCCCGCAGCCATGAGTTCCGACGCCGAGATGGCCGTTTTCGGGGAGGCTGCTCCTTACCTCCGAAAGTCTGAAAAGGAGCGGATTGAGGCTCAGAACAAGCCTTTTGATGCCAAGTCGTCCGTGTTCGTGGTGGACCCAAAGGAGTCCTATGTGAAAGCCACGGTGCAGAGCAGGGAAGGGGGGAAGGTGACGGCCAAGACCGAAGGTGGAGCTGTAAGTCAAACGGAGAGGGTGAAAGGTGGGGAAGCACAGATGATCTTTTTCTGCTTCTTAGTTGGTATTAACTGGATCCTTCCACTCTTAACAGACTGTCACAGTCAAGGAAGATCAGGTTTTCTCCATGAACCCTCCCAAGTACGACAAGATCGAGGACATGGCCATGATGACCCACCTGCACGAACCCGCAGTGCTGTACAACCTCAAAGAGCGTTACGCAGCCTGGATGATCTACGTGAGTGGCCCCTGTCGTATGTCATCAAATCCGTGTACTTTCTGCTGTTGAAACGCCTCATTATGTCAGCGCTGTAAATTATGGTGTCTTCAAAGCTGCATGTGCAGAGAGAGCTCTCTGGTTAATTGCGTTAGCTGGCTATCCAGAGCGTTGGTGCCGCATGGGCCAACCGAGGGAAACAGCCAATGAATGAAACCTCCTGAGGAACAGCACTTTCTTATTTCCTCTCCCCTTGCTCACCCAGCATTATTTCTTAGCTGGAGTAATGAGGTGATTGATAACTGAGCAACTTTGTCTTTGTCCACAGACTTACTCAGGTCTATTCTGCGTCACCGTCAACCCCTACAAGTGGCTGCCGGTGTACAACCCTGAGGTGGTAGCGGCCTACCGAGGCAAAAAGCGACAGGAGGCCCCGCCCCACATCTTCTCCATCTCTGACAACGCCTACCAGTTCATGCTGACGGGTGAGTGTATCAATAATCACAGCCTCTACAAGTTCTAGAAAACACTTGAAGAGTCATAGCAGAGGCAACATATGGCCAGCACCTTGGGAATGAAACATTTTGCATACATGTGATAATTGCAATGATAAAAGTGGAAAATTTGATTTAGACTATGATGCACCAATTCCAAAAGCATAGGGAAATTTGCTCATTTATCTATGCTAGAAATCTAAATTTGTTGATGCTAATTCCAGTTCAAAGTTAATCAAAGCTAGGTATCAACTCTGCGTCTTAATTACACTTACTGTATCATCTCATTAAAAAAGTAAGCTTTGAAATTTCACAAGCACTAGAGGAAATGCAGCCTGAACACTTACAACATGACAGGATTTTGAACTATGAACCAGGTGAATGAAGGGGACATGAAACTGTGAAGCCACCTGCTTCTTGGCTGATTCTCATTGGTAAAAGAGCAAACTTGTGCATTCCATAATCCATAATCCTTCACATGAGTGATAACACCAGCATGACACAAGTGTGATAATTAGCACACCTTTTACACTTAGTTCTTAAGACTTGTGAAAAGAAGAGCACACATTTAGTAGTGTCTGAGCTTTTGTTTATTTGCTGTTGTCTGTGCTTTCCCTTCACAGATCGTGAGAACCAGTCCATCCTGATTACGTATGTAGACACCATATCCTTCTTTCTGCTGAATTTTGGTTGCTAGGCCAGTGCCTCCTGTCTTATATTCCGATTTCTCATTTGGTCCTCATAGCGGAGAATCCGGGGCCGGGAAGACTGTGAACACGAAGCGTGTCATCCAGTACTTTGCGACAATTGCAGTCACTGGAGACAAGAAAAAGGAGGAGGCGCCTTCTGGCAAAATGCAGGTGGGCATGACCATCTGAGGGAGGATGGGAGAAACCAGGCTTTTCCAAGCGTGACAAAACCATAGCAACCAGACGCCCACAATGCTGAAGTTTAGAAAATAAACCTCGGAAGGGCTTTGTGAGGAGGAGATGAACAAGGTGATATGTTAGCAAGTTCTAGGCCTGAGTTCCCACGGCCATTTCTCAGACGTGAAAATGGGCCTTGAGAGGCACCGAAATCAAGCCATGTCACAGGCATGTCCCACTTGCCCATGTGGGTTCCCTTCCTCTTTGTAAGGCCTTCCCTAGCTACAGGATGTGACCAAGGGAAAGAGAAGGACAGATAGGAAATTGTTGTCGTATGTACAACTCAGATAATCCAAGCTTTATCTTACTTCTCCATTTGTCTGAAGGGGACCCTTGAAGATCAAATCATCAGCGCCAACCCCCTGCTGGAGGCCTTTGGCAACGCCAAGACCGTGAGGAATGACAACTCCTCTCGCTTTGTAAGTCTCTTGGTCACCCTGCTCATGTGAGAACCACCTCCACACTTCCATATACACTGTGTTAATACATTTTCTACTTATTTGGTCCATAGTTAATGAAATGGTTTCCAGCTTTTAATCAACTCTCTTTTGCCTTTTTAAGGGTAAATTCATCCGGATCCATTTCGGTGCCACAGGCAAACTGGCTTCTGCAGATATTGAAACCTGTGAGTTAATAAACACTGGTGACTGAGCATCTTTTCTTTGGGGGCACACAGATTGGAAAAACCTTGCTCTTATTTCTGTTGTGTGAATTTCAAAGCTTAATTTTCTACCTTTGGTCTTTTCATTAAAAAATGTGCTTGATATGCCTTTCCAGATCTGCTAGAGAAGTCTCGAGTCACCTTCCAGCTCAAGGCTGAAAGAAGTTACCACATCTTCTATCAAATCATGTCCAACAAGAAACCAGAACTTATTGGTAAGGAGCATCTTGACTAGTTTCCACCAAGCAAGACAACATCCTGCCTATACTGTCCCTCTGAAATGTGGTGATGACCAAAGTAACTCTGCCTGCTCTTTCCCATGTGTCCAGAGATGCTTCTGATCACCACCAACCCATACGACTTCACTTACGTCAGTCAAGGTGAAATCACGGTGCCCAGCATCGATGACCAGGAAGAGCTGATGGCCACAGATGTAAGTAATAGGGAAGAGCCATGAGCTAGCAAGGTCCTTTTCAGCACACAACACTCCCCTTACATCAGAGGAGAATGGACTCGCACAGAGAGTGGGCTAGACAATGCTATCTTTCAGGCTTTCTTACACTTGGGGAAAAAAAATCACAGAATATTGAAATGCCATCCTACACATGTGTTGACATTTCAAATATCTGCAATAAATGGTAGGTACCTGGCATCCCTCACTGAGCTGGATCTTTTTTACTCTTTATGGTGTTGGTCACTTTTCCCTCAATACTTGCACCCCTATATGATTTCTTTTTTACTTTATGTCAGCCCTTGGAACCAGGAATCTTAGAAAAGCTATGATAGTTTCCCACTTTTTATAACAGAACATGAAATTTTCAAGTTCTTTATAGTTAGATATAAAGGAAAACTTTGTTTTGAATAAATGTCTACAGTAATGGGCTAGCCCTGCCCTTATTAATCATTAGGAAAAATGAATTGTCTACCTCCAAAACCACTCTTTTGGTTATTCCATGAATTTTCATTCTTATTTCTGAAACTATGGACTCTTTCCTTCTCCGCCTCTTTTCTGTAAAGATTATCATGTTTTGAGCTTATTTTCTTTACACATAAATTTGATATATAAATACATAAATTTGAATTTCTGCATAATCTTTAATTATTCTTAACTTTAATATTTTCAACACTGATAACTCAATCCCACCAAGACAGAGTTGAAGGGTGCTTAAAAAATACTTTTTTCTTAAAAAAATGTTAATAACCTATGTGTATGCCTTTATCTTACAGATACAGATTTTATTCACTGTAACATATTGCTATGCTCATATTCCAAAAACAACATGGAATTGAGACACATCCCATTGTCTAGTCTGGAAGGTTTTAAAAAAATGTAGCAACCTCACTCGAGGACCTTATTAATAATGTAGTTCCAGGACTGGGTAGCCCCAGTGAGCTACGACCAGAAGAAAGGAGGAAGTCTTAGGAGAATCACACTTTCGTATGTCTACACTGATGCTTGGTCTCTTCCATAAGCCATGTCAATGTTTAGCATGGGTAACTAAGAAAGTAACCAAAATCCAATGGGGGGGGGGGGTCAGAAAGCATTTCAACAAAACAGGAAATTTATCTTCATAAATGTCTCTTCCCTGAACGACTAGTGAATGGTCAATAAAGTTCATGCCCAGGCACCCCAAGGCCAGCCAAGTTGTGACCTGGTATCAGAGAAACAGTAGGAGCCATTGCTGCTCTTATAAGTCTTTCCACTGGACTGTCCATGTCATCTGAGGTGGGAGGGTAATCTGGGGCTGTGCATTAAGTTAGGACAACATAGGAAGAGAAGAAATGACCTGGGAAACTAGAGACAAGAAAGTGTGTGGATAACTCACATGCTGTCCTTAGTGCCCATACTCCTCAAATGATGTTTCTGTGTGGATCAGAGGGGAAGAACCCGACTCCTAAGCCATCAAAACATTAGTCAGATATATGACAGAGTGTGGTTGGGAAGAGGGAGCCAGACCCCTACCGTTCAGAGTAAGCTGGCCACTGTGATAATTGTTACTAATTCAATTTTTTCAACAGACTGCTGTGGACATCCTGGGATTCAGTGCAGATGAAAAGGTGGCCATTTACAAGCTCACAGGCGCTGTGATGCATTATGGGAATATGAAATTCAAGCAAAAGCAAAGGGAAGAGCAAGCTGAGCCAGATGGCACCGAAGGTAAGACCCCTGTTGTCACCTTCCACCTGATGAAACTGTTGACATGAGCCTTTGCAGAGGTAGGGACCTGTTTGCATTGTCTTTCTAATGAAAGACAGAAGCTTAAGGAGATAACACATTGATACATTGATATTTTACATAATTGAGCAAATTTACAGGAGCTTTATTATTTCTTCTCATTCCATGGTTCTGTTTTTCCTGTGTGGTGTGTTTGTGTGTGTGTGTGTGTGTGTGTGTGTGTGTGTGTGTGTGTGTGTGTGTGTGTGTTGTGGTGCTGGAACTGAACCCAGGGCCTTGTCCTGCACTACATCTTCACCTGTCTTCATTCTTCCTTCACATTTGATAAGAAAATACTTGCTTCTTGGTGAAAGCACATTTTATTTTGGTGAATAATTCAGCATTCCCTCTCTACCACTGGGTTAGGGGTTTCTCAAATTATTATCTGTGGTGTACTTCTGCTGTATTTTCAGTATCACACAGAGCATGGGCTCCGCCAAGCTCCAACTTACCATTCTAAGAACAAGTGTGAAGAGTGGCGGTGCTTTTCAAACATAAACAAGTGGAGAGAACTCACAACATTTGTACCTGTTTGTGTAAAACCATTGCCACCAGCAGCATCATTTGCAATGAAGTTGTGTAAGTCACTCCCGGTTCCACTGTTCTTGCTTCTTTCTCACAGTTGCTGACAAGGCCGCTTATCTGACAAGTCTGAACTCTGCTGACCTGCTCAAAGCCCTCTGCTACCCCAGGGTCAAAGTCGGCAATGAGTACGTCACCAAAGGCCAGACGGTGCAGCAGGTAAGTGTGATTTCAGCCCCCTGATTCACTTGAAGACTCAAAAGGTCATCACTGTATACAACTCAAACAACTAAACCAACACTTTCCCTGAAGGTGTACAACTCCGTGGGCGCCCTGGCCAAGGCCATATATGAGAAGATGTTCCTGTGGATGGTCACCCGCATCAACCAGCAGCTGGACACCAAGCAGCCCAGGCAGTACTTCATCGGCGTCTTGGACATCGCTGGCTTTGAGATTTTTGATGTGAGTTATGAACTGATTAGCAAATGCACATTGGCAGTCACTTGGCTGATCTTCTTGGAGCCCTGGAAATACGCTTCCCAAAATATAAAATATGATCAACAAAAAAGTATAAATTCCTGCTGAAGTGGGTCATTGGAGGGATCTGAACAAGTCAAGGGTGTGAATAGGAAAAGAGAGAATGCTATGTTTTCAGGACTAGAGTCTCAAAGGTTGACCATGAAAGCTTGTTCAAAGTTGATCTTGGATTCAAGCACATGAGGATAGAAATGCATGCTTAGGTCACTCTCAATTACTATTTCAAAGATCTCCTATTTAACAGCATTTTGCCCAATATGTAAGATTTCATATAGTTCCTTGGAAAATATTTGAGGATTTAACTCTTGATTTAAAATTATAACACCCTTTAAGAGATAATCTGAAGGTCTAAATCTTCAATATAATAACCCAAAATGTCTCAAAATTTGAAGAAAATGTATTAGCTGTGTTATAGATACAAATACGGAATTTATGACCAATTTCCTATGTTTATCTCTTCCCATAGTTCAACACCTTAGAGCAGCTGTGCATCAACTTCACCAACGAGAAACTGCAACAGTTTTTCAACCACCACATGTTCGTGCTGGAGCAGGAGGAGTACAAGAAGGAAGGCATTGATTGGGAGTTCATTGACTTTGGGATGGACCTGGCTGCCTGCATTGAGCTCATTGAGAAGGTTTGTGTGACTTTTCAAACTTTAAAACAGGAACAACTTGTCCCTCTTCCTATGTTTACTTACATGCCAATTCTCAATCCCAGTTCTCAAAGAGTAATCAGTGATATCTCATGGCATGCCTGTGTGCTCTGATTAGTTCTCAGGTATATCATAGGTAATCTGTTACTAAGAAATAAAGTAAAGTAGTTTCTAGAAAATAGCTATAACACATACACATACAAAACACACAGAGTCACATCCTCCCTCCCTCTCTCCCCTCCCCCTCTGGTTTTTCAATACAGGGTTTCTCTGTGTACCCCTGGCTGTCCTAGAACTCAGTCTGTAGACCAGGCTGGTATCTAACTCAAAAAGATCTGCCTGCCTCTGCCTCCTGAATGCTGGGATTAAAGGCATGCACCATCACTGCCCAGCTGATTCATATTTTCAACTCTTATAATTTTATGCTTTCTCAGTTTTTTAAAGACATATGGTATCACAATGTAATCCTTGCTGGCCTTGGAACTCACTACATAAAATTAGGCCAACTTTGAACTGACAGAGAGTCTCCTCCTCCATCTGTCTTCTGAGTGCTAGGATTAAAGGCGTGTACCATGGGCTTCTTTCGTCCTCATTTTTATTACTATGTGATTTCATTGGCATGGAAGAAAGGGATGAAAGTACAGCTAGTCCTTTGAATAGTCAATTAATCCTGGCGTGGCTATTGGTACATTGCATATGCATCCTCCCTTATGTACAGTAGAACAAGGCAGTGCAAAGTAAGATGCTTAAGGTTGGACAGTTAACTGTTAAATTCATCAATTCATTCCTTCTCATGATTACTACCAAGTAAATACCTAAGCTTCTATTTGACCTTACCCTGGGAATGAGCTCTGAATTCCCCCTTAGTAATTAAGAGAATTAGTAATTAAGGAAATCAATCTAATTAGGTTAGAGCAACAGATGTATCATATTTAGATAGAAATCATTAAGCAATTTAAACATTCAAAAGTGTTGGGATCTTGTGACTGGAGAGATGGCTCAGTGGTTAAGAGTGCTTATTGCTTTATCATGAAGTCTGGAGTTTTGATTCCAGCACCCACATCAAGTGGCTCACAAACACCTGTAAACCAACCTCCAAGGGATCCTATATCCTTTTCTGGCCTCCACAGGCCTCCAAACATACAAGCATGTGCATATTCTCTCTCTCTCTCTCTCTCTCTCTCTCTCTCTCTCTCTCTCTCTCTCTCTCTCTCTCACACACACACACACACACACACACACACACACACACACACACACACTTGGATCTTGTCATGGTACCAAGAAAGAACATAGAGCCAGGCAGTGGTGGTGCATGCCTTTAATCCCAGCACTCCGAGGCAGAGGCAGGCAGATTGCTGTGAGTTCGAGGAAAGCCTGGGCTACAGAGTGAGTTCCAGGAAAGGTGCAAAGCTACACAGAGAAATCCTGTCTCCAAAAAACCTAAAAAAAAAAGAAAGAAAGAACCTATGTGAAATCTCCTGAAGCAATGATAAAGTAGAAATAAAATGCAATTGCCAGCTGGGAAAATTTGAAATACTCAGATCAAAATTCACAAAAATATGAAAAAAAGAACAGGAAAAAAACCTAGGATGCACAATTTAAGAAAATATGTTAATTTGGTGATATAATAGTTCCACTGCTTAGCAAAACTATATGGTCCCTAGAAAAAGTATTTATTTCCTTCACTAATATTTCAACTTCTGGATTATCAAAATGACTTTTGAGCGTAAATTTGTGAATTTGTATAATCACCAATGCTGAATTTGCTTTCAATCTTTTGTATCAAATTTGTCTCAGAAAAGTCAAACTGCTTCATGAGCAGAACCGATGGATCACCAATGCTTAACTCCATAGAGATGGGGGGGGGGGGCGGGGCTGAAAGTACAAAGGGTTTTCATGACACAACAGGAGATGCACTTGATGAAGTTTCATTTTTGGTCATTGGAATGTAGTCTTTCCTTTTCACCTCTTTTCCATGTCTAGAGTTATGGTGAAGGATGTTATACTGCGAGAAAGAAGTATTCAGAGCATATATGAGTATATATAGTCATAGGATAAAAATTGAGCTTTGAGATGGTAATTTTAGAATTTAATTTTACTCACTGAACACAACATTTGCCAGATGGTACAGATGAACTTTTAAACTAAGTCTTTCAGCAACATATACCCTATGCAGTCTTCAGATGATGACTGCCGTATTTTGTCAGAAGAGGGGAGTACTAAGGTAGGCTCTCATCTGTTTAAGACATACTTCCAAGTTCTTCTTTTGGAATGCCTTCTTTTCAGGTTTGCACTAATCACACAAACTACTTGGGCACAGTTTTCTAAAGGACTCATCACTATCTTCTCCCTTTTTAATACTTAGCCAATGGGCATCTTCTCCATCCTGGAAGAGGAGTGCATGTTCCCCAAGGCAACAGACACCTCCTTCAAGAACAAGCTCTATGAACAGCATCTTGGAAAGTCCAACAACTTCCAGAAGCCCAAGCCCGCCAAAGGCAAGGCCGAGGCCCACTTCTCGCTGGTGCACTATGCAGGCACCGTGGACTACAACATTATTGGCTGGCTGGACAAGAACAAGGACCCCCTGAATGAGACCGTAGTGGGGCTGTACCAGAAGTCTGGCTTGAAGACTCTGGCTTTCCTATTTTCTGGGGGACAGGCTGCTGAAGCAGGTAATTTTTGATAGTATCAATTTGTTCTAAGAATCACACCATAGAAATATACCATCTGTCAGAGACAATATAGATCAGCGGTTCTCACCCTGTGGGTTGTGACTCCTTGGGTGGGGGGCTCAAATGAACATTTCACATGGGTCACTTAAGACCATCACAGAACACATATATTTACATTACAATTCATTAAAGTAGAAAAATTTCATCTATGAAGTAGCAACAAAAATTATTTTATGGTTGGGAGTCACCAAAACATGAGGAACTGTATTAAAGGATCAAAGCACTAGGAAGTTGAAAAGTACTGATATAAGTGTTGCAAAATCTACTGTGAGAGTTCAGGCTAATGTGAACGAAATGAAAGAAAGTGTATTAACAACCATGGTACACAGGCATCAGGAATCGTTCGGTCCATAGCTTGTTTATCAATGAGAATGTAAATTTAGAAGGTTCCGTAATTTCTGATGATTGTACCAGCCACTTTTCCACATCAATAATACTGCTTCTATCAAGGGTCCAGCTAAGTCGGAGATAAGGAAACCCTTCACCAGGGCACAACACTAGGGTAACTGAAGAGATTGTATTTCATTCCTAAGTATCTGAAGTCCAGATGTACAAGTAACAACACGGGGACATAGGAAAATAGATATTACGAGTCCTTGCTGATGAACCAAGCTCAACTTGGTTGAGCTTGCATGGAACTCTGCCTGTTCTAGGGGATATGTGCACTGGCAGGACCTTACTCCTCTGTCTTCTGGGTGGAACCTGCAGGAAGCAGACACTGCTGATCTGGATGGAGTCAGGGAGTCCTACCACCTACCCATATCTTCCAACTTCTGCATACTTTTTTGCTCTTCCCTGGGTATCTATAACCATGCAGTGACTACTGTATCTTCATCTAGAATTGAGATAGATGAGCTATGGAAGGAAGAAAGGGAAGGAGTACCAAAGGCTCTTGAGGAAATGTGGCCATCCTGATGCTGGTGGACACAAGAAGACTCAAAGGCTTCAGCTAGTAATCCCCTCTCCATTTTTTGTTTCTGTTTTTCAGAGGGTGGCGGTGGTGGAAAGAAAGGTGGCAAAAAGAAGGGTTCATCTTTCCAGACGGTGTCAGCTCTCTTCAGGGTACAGTATATATAATCCTACACTTAGAAGATAATTAAACTGTCCTTAATGAGAGGTTTTAAAGGATGCTTATGGTAAACGTGAAAAAAGTAGTATTGTATTTTTTTTTAAATCTGAAAAATACTTCAGGAAATTTTTAACAAAAAGAAGGCATACTACATCTCTTTTACAGCAAAGCCTATTATTATAAATGAGGTATTTCCCCAAGCTTCAAATACAAGAGATCTGGTAGAAGAGAGATTTTACATAAAATCAAGCCCTCTTTAAAAAGCACCCACCGTATTCAATTACATCCATTCCATATGATCAAAGTCTCAAGACAAAACTTTTCTGATTGGCACAGTTTGAAAAAAACAAACTGAAATGGACTACTTTTATATAATGAGGAATGTTCTAGAAATTCACCTTCCAGACCTAGGATTTCTCTTGGTCATCATGGTTTGAGACAGTTTGTTAGAATGTGAGAGAGAGGAAAGCTACAGCCACACATTATTCTAAATCTCTCCATACGGTTTTATAGGAGAATTTAAATAAGCTGATGACCAACTTGAAGAGCACCCACCCCCACTTTGTCCGCTGCCTCATTCCCAATGAGACTAAGACTCCTGGTAAGACACTTCTCATGCGCAGAGCAACCTCAGTGTGGCTTCTCTTTAGATGGCTGTAAGATGTGTTCCCCTTTCCAGGTGCAATGGAGCACGAATTGGTCCTGCATCAGCTCAGGTGTAACGGGGTGCTGGAAGGCATCCGCATCTGCCGGAAGGGGTTCCCCAGCAGGATCCTCTATGCAGACTTCAAGCAGAGGTTTGTCTCACATCTTCCAATGTTTTATATAGAGCAGTGTTAAATTTTATTGCCATTTGGTTTGCCATTGTTTGATTGATCCATTTTTTTTCAATAGTAGCTACTACTGTTCTAACTTTTATTTCTCGGTGAAGAAAAAAATTATGTTTTAAATATGCTTTTCATTTCGACAGATACAAAGTTCTGAATGCAAGTGCTATCCCAGAAGGTCAATTCATTGACAGCAAGAAGGCCTCTGAGAAGCTTCTGGGTTCTATTGACATCGACCACACCCAGTACAAATTTGGTCACACTAAGGTACCACCAAGTCCAAATTGCTGACACAAATTTAGCGTTTTTTAGAGTTTCTGCTTGAGTGGAAATAACAAATCTCACTGTCCTCTGCCAAGGTTTTCTTTAAAGCTGGCCTGCTGGGAACTCTAGAGGAGATGCGAGATGACAAGTTGGCTCAGCTCATCACCCGCACTCAAGCCATGTGCAGAGGGTATTTGATGAGGGTGGAGTTCAAGAAGATGATGGAGAGGAGGTGAGGAAGAAAGCGTGTTTGCCTTTTCCACCACTGTCATCACTGAACTCGGAGCAATTGTGATGGTCACATTACACATTTTTGCCCATTTTTATCTATTTCTCTCCTTCCACAGAGAGTCCATCTTCTGCATCCAGTACAACGTCCGCGCCTTCATGAATGTGAAACACTGGCCCTGGATGAAGCTGTATTTCAAGATCAAGCCTCTCCTGAAGAGTGCGGAGACAGAGAAGGAGATGGCCAACATGAAGGAAGATTTTGAGAAGGCCAAGGAGGATCTGGCTAAGTCAGAGGCAAAAAGGAAAGAGCTAGAAGAAAAGATGGTAGCTCTGATGCAAGAAAAAAATGACCTGCAGCTCCAGGTTCAAGCTGTGAGTGCCATGCATTGCACAGAGCCCTTTCATATTACTAATCAGGATGTGACTGGAATTACAGGCTTCAGAGTAAATGATTTATACGCAGGAATCTTCTGTGGTTTCCTGACTTTCAAAAACACTGATTCAGACCCAAAGAAACAACACCTGCAAAGCCACACCCATGATGCTTATGTTCATGTGTGCATCCTACCCACACATCCATGATGCTTGTGTTCATCCTACACACACATTCATGTTTATTTTCAAATGTGTATCACACACACACACACATACACACACACACACACACACACACACACACACACACACACACACACACATCCATGATGCCTAAGTTCATATGTGCATCCTACACACACACACACACACACACACACACACACACACACACACACACACACAAAATATGATTATGTTCACGTGTGTATCCTACACACACATTCATGATGTTTATGTTCATATGTGCTTTCTACACAGTCTGGTCACTAGTGAATAAAGTCATGAAAATATCTCTAGGTATTTTCCTTTCTGTATGGAGCACCCTCTTATATTAGAATATTCTCTTTCATAAATATTGTTGAAATTTAACTAGAAAGCACATTGTTTTTATCAGGGCAGAAAAAAGGCTAATTTAAGCCCTTAATTGATTGTGGAAAAAAACTGAACCCAAGAATTAGTAAATTACTTTTCCAAGGGACTGAGGGCTAGTAGATCATATATTTTTGCAACAAAGTTATCTTTTCCTGATTTTATCTTCCACACATGGATATTTAGAGAGAATGTTACTCTGCTTGATCAAAGGATTTTAAGATACTTGCACTTTGTCCATTTAATTCTTTAAAAGTTGGTAATTTAATGGCCTATCCATTGACCAAGTGGTGGTCATCCATTCCCAACTTTTAACACGTGAGTGTGTGTTTGCAGATAGAGCCCACACAAATGAAAATGCACTATTCCTCCCCTTAGGAAGCAGATGGCTTGGCTGATGCAGAGGAACGATGTGACCAGCTGATCAAAACCAAAATCCAGCTGGAGGCCAAAATCAAAGAGCTAACTGAGAGAGCTGAGGATGAGGAGGAGATCAACGCTGAGCTGACCGCCAAGAAGAGAAAGCTGGAGGATGAGTGCTCAGAGCTGAAGAAAGACATCGACGACCTTGAGCTAACACTGGCCAAGGTTGAGAAGGAGAAGCATGCCACAGAGAACAAGGTACAATTATTATTCACTTTAAAGCATTTACAAGTGTTTATTTAGTGCTGAACTTTAAACGTTAAAAATTACTGAACGTGAAAGAAAAAAGTCACAACCACGACATCTGTTTGCTTTCACCTTAATATCCCATTGTATTCAGCCACATAGCCAACCTTGGTTTCTGACTGCTGTCAGGATGATGTTGTCCTAAGATGTTGCATTATCACACATTTTTGTCAAGATGGCATGTTTTCATCAGCCTTCCTACCATCTGTTCAAATCTAAAGGTGAAAAACCTCACAGAGGAGATGGCAGGCCTGGACGAAAATATCGCCAAGCTGACCAAGGAGAAGAAGGCCCTCCAAGAGGCCCACCAGCAGACCCTGGATGACCTGCAGGCAGAGGAGGACAAAGTCAACACCCTGACCAAAGCCAAAACCAAGCTTGAACAGCAAGTGGATGATGTGAGTCTGAAAAATATCTTCCTCCTTAGAAGGAATGAAATAAACAATGGTGAAATGAGGCCATCAGTGTTGTCCATGAGCCTCGAAAGTCAGGCTTTGGGTCTTCATGCTGTTTGTTCTCTTATATGTTTTTTTTTTTTCTTGAGTTTCTGGCTAACAGCATATGTATGGTTCAATACTTGAGAACCTAAACGAAATCCATTATAATTTAGCTTGAAGGATCACTGGAACAGGAAAAGAAGCTTCGGATGGACTTAGAAAGAGCCAAGAGGAAACTGGAGGGGGACCTCAAATTGGCCCAAGAATCCACAATGGACATAGAAAATGACAAACAGCAACTTGATGAGAAACTCAAAAAGTAAGTGTGATGGAATTCAGCTCTGGCTTCTCACCGTGTCAGCACAGATGAAACACGTGTTTAAATGTTTCCCAATTATTGCCTTATGACACTTGGGGTAAAATAAACAATGGCAACTTTGATTTTTTTTATTTAGTTAGAATGGCACATTGTGACTTGTGAAACACGTACTGCTCTATTTTTTAAGGCCATCAGTATGAAAAAGTTCAATTATACATAGATGGGGCTGTGGGAAGAATTGACCATAAGCTAATGTGTTGCTGTTAAACTAGGAAAGAGTTTGAAATGAGCAATCTGCAAAGCAAGATTGAAGATGAGCAGGCCCTTGGCATGCAGCTGCAGAAGAAAATCAAGGAGTTGCAAGTAAGTAAATGGCTTCCATCAGTCTAACTCATCGGAAAAAATAAATGACTGACCCAAGAAGCTGAGTCTGTACTTTCCACCATCCCCAGGCCCGCATTGAGGAGCTGGAGGAGGAAATCGAGGCAGAGAGGGCCTCCAGAGCCAAAGCAGAGAAGCAGCGCTCTGACCTCTCCAGAGAACTGGAAGAGATCAGTGAGAGGCTGGAAGAAGCCGGTGGGGCCACTTCAGCCCAGATCGAGATGAACAAGAAGAGAGAGGCTGAGTTCCAGAAGATGCGCAGAGACCTGGAGGAGGCCACCCTGCAGCATGAAGCCACAGCAGCTGCTCTTCGGAAGAAGCACGCGGACAGTGTGGCTGAGCTTGGGGAGCAGATTGACAACCTGCAGCGTGTCAAGCAGAAGCTGGAGAAGGAGAAGAGCGAGCTGAAGATGGAGATCGATGACCTCGCTAGTAACATGGAGACTGTCTCCAAAGCCAAGGTCTTTCCTAACTTCTTATCTTTATCTGAAATACTTGAAAGTGACTATATACTGTATGTGACTCTAGCTAGTCACACTGCATGCCATCTGAGATTTTCTGATCGACATCACTGTATTGAATAGAAGCCCTCAAGTTTACACATCTTATTTTTAAAAATCACCTTAAACTTTGTTGCTATGGCCGCCACAGTAGTAATGCAATGACAAGGAAGAGTCCCCTCTCCATGATGTGGGCCATAAATGATGCTCATGTTTCCCCAAAGACAGGAATTCCACATTCATTCAATCAGTCACCTATGCTCCTCCACTGCTTTCCATGCACGGTGCGAGGCTTTGACAGCAACATAAATAATACTCTGTGCCTGTCATACATAGTTCCAGATCTTTAAATCTCAGCCTTCAGAGTAGAAATGTGTCATCTTGTCTTATTTTCTATTTCCCACCCCAGGGGAACCTTGAGAAGATGTGCCGCACCCTGGAGGATCAGCTGAGTGAAGTGAAGACGAAGGAAGAGGAACAGCAGCGCCTAATCAATGAGCTGTCGACCCAGAAGGCCCGCTTGCACACAGAGTCAGGTCAGTCCGTGAGCATCACTACCTTTGGAACAGCAAAGCATGGAAGATCGGGACCATTTGTGAAGCATGGGTCACACCTTGTCCATCGTGTGCACATTTATGATTTCTTACTCCTTCATCTTTAGAGTATAAGATCGTTACAAAACAATGACTCTAAGCTATACTTGAGGGCTGGGGGAGATTAATCTCTTGGGTTTAGAAGAGTTTTGTTACATCAGTCCTAAAATACCAAAGAAAGCAGCGCGCTACCACTCTGGAGACATCGTTTGCATTATATGAAATAGGAGGGTCCAATACTATTCCACTTTACTCTTTGCCGAGACAAAAGAATTCAATCATTCATATTTTCTCTCTCAGGTGAGTTTTCCCGACAGCTAGATGAGAAAGACGCTATGGTGTCTCAGCTCTCCCGAGGCAAACAAGCATTTACACAACAAATTGAGGAACTAAAAAGACAGCTAGAAGAGGAGTCAAAGGTGAGAATCCTCAGCTGATACTTTCATTCATGAAACGGGGCAACCTGACACACTACTGAACTTCAAAAGAGACTATCAGTGATCAGAACACAAATTCACATCATATAATTTTGGGTTATTTAGGCCAAGAACGCACTGGCTCACGCCCTGCAGTCAGCCCGCCATGACTGTGACCTGCTGCGGGAACAATATGAGGAGGAGCAGGAAGCTAAAGCTGAGCTGCAGAGGGCCATGTCCAAGGCCAACAGTGAGGTGGCCCAGTGGAGGACAAAATATGAGACGGACGCTATCCAGCGCACGGAGGAGCTAGAGGAGGCCAAGTATGGGTTTCAATGAGTTAAACAGAAAGAAACCAAAAAGAAGGGAAACTAGGAAAAAATATTCATGCCACGGTGAATCATCAAATAATTTTACAACTTCCATATCTATACAGTTAAGAGGATCATCTGCACAATGTCTAGGATCCCATTCAATTATAACATTATTGAGGAAATGTATCCTCTACTGAGTTGTCTGGGTTAACTCAGCTTCAGAGTCCTCCCCTTTCCTCCTTCTCTCTGGCGTTGTAGATATGTTTGATAACATTTGAAATGAAGAGGAACTCACCAGGGAAATCAGAACTCAGAAAGAGATAAAATGGGCTCTAAGAAGTAATTCTGGGAAAACCTGTGGGCATACAAAAATAAAAGATCTCAGGGGAAAATAGACTTTCCTAATCAGCAGCTAGGCAGAGTTCATTGTGGTAATTGATTCTTCTCTTGGTCACTCACACTGACCAACTCCTCAGGAAGAAGCTGGCTCAGCGTCTGCAGGATGCAGAGGAACACGTAGAAGCTGTGAATTCCAAATGTGCTTCTCTTGAAAAGACGAAGCAGCGGCTCCAGAATGAAGTGGAGGACCTCATGATTGATGTGGAGAGGTCTAACGCTGCCTGCGCGGCACTTGATAAGAAGCAAAGGAACTTTGACAAGGTAGTCCACGTGATCCGTGAAGTGTCCCTCTTGGGGGAAAGAGGTATTATACCCAGGTTCAGAGTTTTAACTAATGATGTCCTCCCAGGTTCTAGCAGAATGGAAACAGAAATATGAGGAGACTCAGGCTGAGCTTGAAGCCTCCCAGAAAGAGTCCCGTTCTCTCAGCACCGAGCTGTTCAAGGTCAAGAACGCCTACGAGGAGTCTCTGGATCAACTCGAGACTCTGAAGAGAGAAAACAAGAATCTCCAGCGTGAGTCCCAACTTTTCCAATCCTAGTCAGCCCTGGCTGGACCCTCCCATGTTGCCACCGTTCCCACCACTTCCTCTCATCTCTTCTTCCACAGAGGAGATTTCTGACCTGACGGAGCAGATCGCAGAGGGAGGGAAGCATATCCATGAACTGGAGAAAATAAAGAAACAAATTGATCAAGAAAAGAGTGAATTGCAGGCGTCCCTAGAGGAAGCAGAGGTATACACGTTGTTTGCGCAGCTGTCCATTATAAACAAACTGAAAAGAGAATGGCAACGGAGGTCTACCATTTTGTAAGCTTTAGGGGGGCAATGCTCGCCATCAAGAGAAAACCTGATATGTATGTCTCGCAAATGCAGAAAAATGATCTAAGCTGAGATGTGTGAAAGTTTGGGGAGGAGGGCTAAATGCCTCCTTGAGAAATCGCCATAGTGAGGTCACCAAAATGTCGCTTCTATTAAGGCATCTCTTGAACACGAAGAGGGCAAAATTCTCCGCATCCAGCTTGAGTTGAATCAGGTGAAATCTGAGATTGACCGCAAAATTGCTGAAAAAGATGAAGAAATAGATCAGCTGAAGAGAAACCACCTCAGAGTCGTGGAGTCCATGCAGAGCACGCTGGACGCGGAGATCAGGAGCAGGAATGATGCCCTGAGGATTAAGAAGAAGATGGAAGGAGACCTCAATGAGATGGAAATCCAGTTGAACCATGCCAACCGCCAGGCTGCAGAGGCGATCAGGAACCTCCGGAACACACAAGGAATGCTGAAGGTACCTTGGGGTGAACACATGCTGTTTCAGCAGGCTATGTGTTACTGGAGAGCTCAAGTCTTAAAATTTTAGGAAAATTACAGGCCATAAATTGTCAAAGGAATGTGGTAGCAAGATTTTAAAAAAAAAAAAATGTATCTTGGAAAGGAGCTAAGTTTCGTCTGAAAGGTCCAAGAGAGAATTTGCTTTGTCATCTGAGACAAAATGAGGGGTTAATATGTGAAGACAGAGTGATGAAAGAGTTCAGCCTTCCAAGTGCGAAGACTGTAGGCGTGACCCACCAAATCCGGATCCTGGATTTCCCTTCCTAAATATGTAAAATAATGTAATCAGGTTAGCTGATTTTTAAGGATTCCTGACACAGAGTTTCATAGATTTATCCATGATTGTTTTTATGATTTGGGATCTGAAATAAAACATTATGTGCTTTTACATTGACGGATTGCACCAGGGTTCCAGGACTACGTCCTTACTGGCACTTGTAAATGCTTCTATTTAATCAGACTTGGAGTTCGTAAGATCCAGGTGTGAGCCTGATGGTAAATTTGAATCCACATTCACTGGGACACAAGTAAGAGTTTCTCTGATTTCTTGCAGGACACTCAGCTGCACTTGGATGATGCTCTCCGAGGCCAGGATGACCTTAAAGAGCAGCTGGCCATGGTGGAGCGCAGAGCGAACCTGATGCAGGCTGAGATCGAGGAGCTGCGGGCATCCCTGGAACAGACAGAGAGGAGCAGGAGAGTGGCGGAGCAAGAGCTGCTGGATGCCAGTGAGCGTGTGCAGCTCCTACACACCCAGGTGAGGTTCAGGACCAGGCTTATCAAAGGCACTCCCTGAAGCTAAAGGCAGCCTGAGGGGATGTTCACAAGATGTACACGTAATATTGGCAGGGAAACTTTCCCAGGGTTTTGGGAAATGCACAGAAGGATCTAAGTATGTACCAAGACATAGACAGTTTACAAGTCCACTTACGGGCTGGTGCAGTTGTGGACAAGAAAGGATCTGGAGTTTAAAACTTATATAAAGAAGCACAGAAAACCACCCATGAGGAGATATGTATACAACACTGGTAGCCATCTTGTCATTTGAAACTCTACACAGTAAATAAATAGGCAAAAAAAAAAATGTAAAAATAACAAGTCATCATGATATTTATTATCATGTGCGAACCTAAAATTAACCTCATGGGATATATAAAGAGCTCTTGTGTTCAAATCCATGGAGCCGTCATTAGTGTACTTGTGTTCTACCCTGCATTTGTCAAGTAAATGGTGGTATATCCTTGCAATGATCATATGAAACATTCGCTGCCTCAGAAAGACAGTCACAAAACAGTAAAAGAATAAAACAAATTAAGGTGAGGGATCCCCTAGCTTTCTTCTGTAAAAAAGTATGCAAGAAACATTCAAAAGCATAAGCAAAAGTGTTATTAATGGTTGTCTCTGGTTACTGAGCATGTATTATTTTTTGTCTTATGCTAATTTGCATGCCCTCTACTTTTTAAATAATAAACCTATGTAACATAATATTTTGTACATTGTAATATATAAAATCAGCAATTATGGGAATGTTCAAATCAATATTGTAATTTTTTAATCAAATTTATTAATATATAACACTTTTCTTACTAATTATGAATATCTAGAATTGATTGACTATTTCAAATACTGTTAACTTTCCAAAAACATGGGGATTCATTCCTGGTCAATCATTTGTACTAATAAAGATGCTATTTATGAACTTATAACATAGAGCCAACCAATATGGATGAACAGCTAAAATTAATGAGCTATTTTTCATCAGCCGTGTGGTACACAGCATTCTAAAGCGGGATGGCTTTACTTTGTGTTTACAAGCATCCATGGATAACAAGTAAATACCTTTGGCACTAGAGATTAAATTTTACATCGAATCATTTATGTTTTATGACCAAGGATATAGGTAGAAAAAGACACAAGCTTGGAAATAACTTCTGATTTTATTTTTATTCTGAACATTTTTAATTATCAACAATTTAGAACTTAATAGACTAGTTATAAATGTAATTAAACGTAGTTTTCTTATTTTTTTTTAAATTTACAACAGAACACCAGCCTCATCAACACCAAGAAGAAGCTGGAGACAGATATTTCCCAGATCCAGGGAGAGATGGAGGACATTGTCCAGGAAGCCCGCAATGCAGAAGAGAAGGCCAAGAAAGCCATCACTGACGTGAGCAGAGGGCAAGATGGAAATGGCAAATCTGAATCCTGCCAGACCTTTCCAGCCCTTATCCAACTCTGTCTTATCACTCACCAGGCTGCCATGATGGCGGAGGAGCTGAAGAAGGAGCAGGACACCAGCGCCCACCTGGAGCGGATGAAGAAGAACATGGAGCAGACGGTGAAGGACCTGCAGCACCGTCTAGACGAGGCTGAGCAGCTGGCGCTGAAGGGCGGCAAGAAGCAGATCCAGAAACTGGAGGCCAGGGTGGGTGTCCCCGTGTTCCCTCAGCTCCTGGCCTGCGTGTGTGAACAGTTGCAGGCAAACCGTTGACCGTGCTTTTCTCTTCCAGGTGAGGGAGCTCGAAAATGAGGTTGAAAATGAACAGAAGCGCAACATTGAAGCAGTCAAGGGTCTTCGCAAGCACGAGAGGAGAGTGAAGGAACTCACTTACCAGGTGACTGGCCTGCCCTTCTCCACCAGGCCTGCAGCCCTTGAGAAAACAGAGTAGAGTAGTGTCAGCTAACGATGCCCTCCGCTTGCTGCGTCTTTCAGACCGAGGAGGACCGCAAGAACGTGCTCAGGCTGCAGGACTTGGTGGACAAGCTGCAGACTAAAGTGAAAGCCTACAAGAGACAAGCTGAGGAGGCTGTGAGTATCTCCTCAGAAAAAGAATGCTCCAGGACCATGTCCGGTTCTGTGAAGCATCCAAGTCCCTCACATCCAAGGGGCTTTCTTCTAAGGCAATGATCAAACCAGGAGTCCAAACTTAGGTGGGAAAATGAGTATTGATTTGGAAAACTAAAATTTTGCTACAAATTATTAGAGCTTTAGACATGTTAGTTGATTTCTCGGAGACTGCATCAAGTAAGGTTTCAAATGAGTTAACACAGAAATGTTTCACCATTGCACTATATTCACTATCTAGAACATTCCAAATTCCCAGCATTCATAGGGACAGTGCAAATGAGGGTCTGAATTATTCTAAGCCTTACTTATTATTATGATTAAATACAGTTCTGAACTTCAAAAAAAATTAATCTTTCTCATTCTGAAAGTTCTGAACTCTTCCTTGGGGCTCTCTGTCCCCAATGTCACTACCGTGTCTTCTCTTTAAAGTTCGTTTTGCAGAAACAAGATTAACTCAGATCCCTGCTTCTTTGGCCTCTGTGTAGTCACTACAGCATCCTCAGTTTGCCGGAAAAGAGTCAAATGAAAGAGACCAAAGGAGGGGGCGTGCAAGAACACTCATTCATGTAGTTAGATCCGTGGGATGCTCCGCCCCCAAACAAGAATGCCACCAATTGACAGGACCCTTTTACTTTCTCATTCAGGAAGCAAATCCTGTAGCTCCTTTTAGCAACAAAGGTAGTTAGCAAGTAGAAAATGTCAAATCTTGTGTTCTCCAATGCTTTCCCGTTCACAGGAGGAACAATCCAATGTCAACCTGGCCAAGTTCCGCAAGATCCAGCATGAGCTGGAGGAAGCCGAGGAGCGGGCTGACATCGCCGAGTCCCAGGTCAACAAGCTGCGGGTGAAGAGCCGGGAGGTTCACACCAAAGTCATCAGTGAAGAATAATTCATTCTTCTGTTGAAAGGTGACAGAAGAAATCACAAAATGTGATGTTCTTTGTCACTATCCTGTATATCAGCTAAATAAAATCTGCAGATAATTTTGCAATCTAAAAGCTCATTTGTCTTTTAATTAGAAGATTCATGATGCTTTGGGGAGCAATTTATTTCTTAAACATTGGTTGAGTACCTACTATGTGCAGGGACATGACTAGCACTCAACCAACTTTCCTGAGCACTGAGTACATGTCTGGTACTAAAATGGTCATCAAAGAAATGGTATCCCTGTCTTTGAGGAACTCAGTTGAGGGGGTGGGGGACAAAGACTTCAGACAGACGTGGAAAGGTGTACATACTCTGACCGAAGACTAAAGATAATGCATGGCAAGGATATAAAGTGATACCTAGGGGTCCAGAGAGACTTCTCAAAGGAGACTGTGAGCTCCTTCCTCAGAGATGAGCAGCCAGTTATCAGGTAATAGGGAAAAGGAGATGGCCGCTGTGAGAGAAAGCAAGTATGAGATTCGTCGTTTTACCACAGACATCATGAGCAAAAGGCAGCAGATGAAACCAGACATAAGAAGGGAGGGCATGACAGTGAAGGGTATATATGGTCCCGCATACAGTACTGAAGGATTAGGGCATGCATCAATCTGCTCTAATTTCACAAGGAAGACAGTTGGCCAACTCTGGTAAGGGTGCAGGGGGAGGAATGAGTAGGCTCGGAGAAACTGGAGTCTGTGCAGGCTGTTCGGGAGGCATGGTCCTGACTCAAGGCTGTGGTGGTGGGAAGAACAAGAAAGCAGAGGGAATGCAGGGTTCTCATGCTGGCATAGATGAAGTAGGGAAGCATGGAAGAGGTCAGTGTCATGATGTTCAAGAAAGCAGAATGAATGCAGGGTTCTCATCCTGGCACAGATGAAGTGCGGAAGCATGGAAGGGGTCAGTTTTGTGACGTTCAAAACATCAGGTTACTTTTTGGTTATCCATTTTTCTTTCATTTCAGGAGAAATCCTTTTCTTTGGAACCCCTTCCCCTTCCAAGAAGAACTGCTAGAACACTTAGAAGAATTCTCATGACTTTTCTACAGAACTTGACTTTCCTTAGTAGCTTACACATTTTAAGGAGGAAGGAGAAAGGGAATTCATTCTATAGTGTCAAAAAAGAGAACATTTTATCACAGCTGTTGTTTGAGTGATTTTTTTCATTAATTCTTTCTTGTAACTTCAAATGTTGATTTTATTGGGTGGATGTTGAAAAAATGAGGTAGTAAAGGGTCAATTTCTCTTTTTCCTAGTGGCAGACATCCCTTTCTAATGAGGAGGCCACTTTGAGAAACTGTCTTCCCTTGCCTGAGAAACCTAATTAGTAATGAGGAGCTTGCTTCAGCAGCAGAGAATTTTAAAAGCCTAGAAAATAATTATGAGGAATATCTCACCTCAGCCGTGATGAAGACTAATGAAGTATCCTGCATAGAGGAGGCATTTATTATCAAATTTTAATTAACCTCTATAGAGTTAACCTATTGACCCCCACAGCACTAGGCAACTGCCATATTATTCTGTCTTCCGACTATGTAAGTGATAGCTTAAGTAGAGTTAAGAGTGGGTTCTGTTATATGTAGGTCAATTTTTCTACCTCACCCTAAAGCAGGAAGATTAGAGATCACAGTTATTCTGGTTAACATTCTTCCTCATTTTCCTCACAGATTAGGTGGGTTTCAGCCTCCATTCTGTATCTACTAGAATAAAGCCACACCTTATCATCTTAGACTGCTCACATGATACTCTTCACCTTTTCGTTCATTGCTCTGGGGCATTATGCACTATCTACACCTTCCTGAACCAAGACAGGGTACAGGCAAAAAGCAGGCTGCATTGAAATTTCAATGTATACAAATGTTCTCATTACAATTGACACTTCATCTGAAGTGGCTGGCTAACCAACTGAGAAGATCCTGGGGCTGGAAAGATGCTCAGAGCACGCACTGCTCTTGCAGAGGACCTGAGTTCAGTTCCCTGCACTTATGACAGGCAGCTCACAATGGCCTGCAACTCCAGGAGAATCTGGTGCCTCTACCTTGACTTCCATACGTCTTATCTCCTTGATTTGCTTTATTTCTGTCGTGCTACAAGATCAATTACTCATCTGTCTCCTGCTAAAATATAAGCTCTACAATGACAGACAATGCATTTGGCTTATTGTTGAGTATGTGGTAAGTCAGGCGTTGTCTGGTCCATAATAAATGTTGAAGAAACGCCTACAGAAGGAATGGAAGAGTTTAGTAAGAATTCTCTCTGTCTAGTGTGCAGTGCTAAATTATACATGTACCGACTACAAATGAACCTAAAAGCAGTGGATATTTTAACTCTCTCTCATACATTTAGTAAGGAACACTTTCCCTTCTGAGGAGATGGAATAGTTTGTTTCTTTACCTTTTTTCCCAATAAGTACAACTAACACCCCCAGATACTCCACTTAACATAGGAGACTCTGCCAGACAGAGTAAAGATGGAGAATGAAAGTCCTTAGGCTCTCGGATTGGCACAATGGTGAGGTCTGCGGCTTTTCTGCATTTCATCAGACACCTAGACTTGGTGTTAAGGGAGCAGACAACCAATGGGTACTGAAAAAAGAAGGTAAAGGAAGAAAAAGGGGGAATAAAACTCAACAGAAGCCATTTTCTCTATGTAGAGAACAAAGAAATGGGCAGCCTAGCAAAGCAAAAAAAAACTTTTTAGCCAAGAACTGTTCTACACAAACCAAATGAAAAAAAAGCACGCTTCCACCCATTCCCAGCAAAAGTCCAATGCAAAGCCTGTATTTCATCTTTTTGGGATTGGAACAAGGTACTTCTATACTAGTGGAGTGCCGTCAAAGGAGACCAACAGGGAAGATGGGATTCATCCCGGCTGGTTAGCAACAGGTCACATGACATCACAGGCAACAACACTGTGACTCTTCCTGCCCACCACCTGAGAGCAACACGCTTCTGACCTCCTGCTGGAGTTCTATTATGATTATCGTCTTAGCCTCTCCCCAGCAGTAAGACAACTACCCATGTCCAAAGGAAGCAGGTGGACCCCTCTGTGTCAACAGAAGGGAATGAGGACTTGTACCTCCACCCTGGGAGCAGCCAGTGTCACCACCCTCCTTCTCTCACAACAGAAATGCTGCAAAGATCTAGCTTAAGGTTTAAATAAGATCCAGAGTCCAAGAGCATAATGGGAAACTCCCCAGTTTCAACAGGAATCAACCACCACACCAGGAAAATCTCGCACTGAATAGGGAAAAGGTAACTCACACTTGCAAAATAAAGACTGCCTAAGGGCTAAGGGAGATGACTCATGGAGAAAAGGGCACTTGCTGTGTAAGTTCAAATCCCCAGAAGCCATGTAAAAAGCATGACTGTGTATGCCTGTAACCTCAGTGCTGTGTGGGTCAGAGACAGGAAGCTCACAGAGGCTTCCTGGCCCCCAGTCTAGCTCCAGATTCAGTGAGATACTCTGTTTCTAAAGAATAAGGCAGAAATTGACAAAACAGGCATTTTCCTCTGGCCTCCATAAGTGTGAATATCCCCACCTCACAGTTTCCCTCCTATATCCACACCACAAGACTATATGGATACTCACTTCCTCTTTCTTACCTAATTAAAGAAAAACTATAATAGAATATGCATGTAATGTATTATTGGGCCTGCAATCATAAATGGATGTCATAAACACAAGCAACATAAATAAACGTAATGCACTCGGCAATATAGCACAAAAAAGGCTTATGGGAGCAAAGCTGTGTTGAGCCAGGAAATGAATGCAGAGAGTAAAATAGGAATTCTAACAATGTGATTTTGAGTTTGTAACATTAAGAGATATATTACATATAAAATAAAATGACAAACTAGAGGAAAGGGAATAGAGCAGTATGAGCAATACTTTTAAATATCATTATAAGAACCGAACTAATAAAAACCTAAAGCCGATCAGTTAAGGCACATATGATGGATCATAGAGCAATCGTTAACATATAACTCAAAGAATAAAAAAAAATCATTAAATAAGTTCAAGTATTATATTACAAACTATAGATGTAGCTCGGTGATAGAGTACTTTCCTCCATCCGCAGGATCCTTGTTTAATCCACAACACCATGTGAAAATTATATTAGAAAACAGTGCAAGAGACAGCAAAAGAAAAGAGAAGAACCAAAGTGTCATGAAGCACTCGAGAAAAAAGCATCTAAATAACACATTAAATGTGGATGAATCAAACAATCAGTTAAAAGATAGAGGTTGTCTGGCTGGATTTAAAAATCATGATCCAAACAAAGGTCATTTGTATTCGCCAAAATACAAGCAATTGAACACAAAAGAATGGGGAAATATACATATTATAAACAATGGCCACATGATAAATGAAAAATAGCTCTGTGTATAGATGACAAAGTAGCCTTTAAAAATTATCTACTATAAGAAATAAAGATGGAAATAAAAAAGAAATAAAGATGGACATTTTGCAATAACATGATAAATTTGTCACTGCGCATCAAGGCACATACTGACAGAAATAAACACTAAAAAAACAATAAATGCAACAAAATAGAGAGCTTAGAAATATATCTGGTACTAATATAGTCAAATGAAAATGATATTTTACTAAATTTCTAATTCAACTCACTCTAGAAGAAAAAAATCTTTGCAAAAAACAATACTGAATCAATTGTATATGTCTGTGGGAAAATAAATATAATTGACTATTTCAAGACAAACAGTAGGTTTCACAAAAATCTTAAAAAGACAAACCTCCTAGAAGAACCACAAATGCACATCTCTGTGATGACAGGCAAAAGCTCCAAAATAACACACTGTACACAAATATGAAATATAAAAATATGACTAATTAAAGCTGTCACTGGGCTGGAGGTCAGTGGTGGAGCCCTTTCCCAGTGTGTGCTCATCCAGGCACTGTTGGGAGAACAAAAACGGCAGGTCACAGGCTGGGAGAAAATATGTGCTGTACGTGTATTCAACCAATGACTGGCAGAGAAAGAATCCATAGGAAACAACTAAAAGAACACAATCCAACAAAACTGAGCAAAAGAGACAATTCATGAA